TTCCCCTTGGCATAGGAAAGGACATAGGAGTCCTGTAACCGCGTTTCAGCCAAAAGAGGCCTTAATCCTAGCTTGGATTAAGGCCTCTTTTGGCTGAAACGCATCAAGAATCTCAGAATCTTGACTCTTTAAAGGGAACAAAAAAACAAACAAAAACTTAACAGTCCTGTTGTGGTTACACCTGCCCATTACTAGTGTTTGGTTCAAGAGCTGTATGACGCATTTCTCTTACTCCTGTATACCCCACCAAGGAGAAATCAAAAACATTTGAGGTGTCCCCAAATCAAGAGGTGAGGGGGAATCTTTCAATACAGATACCTGTTCCAGCGACACCTGCCTTAGAGGGAATTTCCCCTCACTTTGGTTGATTTCCACTAACTTCCTGTTGTGTATCAGGAACAGGAAGTAAAGGGACATTTGCCCAATGGGAAGCCAGGCTCCGTACAATGACACGGTGCCCGGCTTTCTGATTGGCCGGGAAGCCGGCTTTATGGTCCCTCGTCACGAGACAGCATGGAGCCGGCTTCCCGGCGAATCAGTAAGCCAGGTGTGGCATTATTACGCGGCACCCGGTTTCCTGATTGGCCAGAAAGCCGGCTCCATGCTTTCTCGTCCCCTAGTGATGAGAAGCATGGAGACGGCTTCCCTACTAATCAGGAAGCTGGGTAACGAGTCTTTACACGCCACCTGGCTTCCTTAATGGGACTTCCGGTATCGGTATTCAGTATCGGCAAATAACGGAAACAAATATCGGTACTCGATACCAAAAAAACGATATTGGTGCATCCCTAAAAAAACAAAACATAACCTGGTATGGTGACAATACATATATTCTTCTTTTGCAGACTGTTTTTATTTTTGCCACAGAATTGCTTGAGAACGACACATTAGAATCTGAATGTACAACTTAACATGTACCAACCACTATGTAGCGCAAGGGCCTGTATGACCGGATATAAACTGAATGGGTTCTTTAGGTACCGTATGGTTTTGGGAAAGGAGACTGTATGACCAGATGGCACCGTGTATGACCAGCTTTGGCCAGGGCCCCAAGAAAATGGTTGGTAGTACCCAACAAATACATTACAAACCCGGACCTTCTGCTCTATCCGTGATGAGAGTGATATATTACTCATGATTAGTAAAAGCAGCAGAAAGCAACGATGCACAGACCACCGTCTCATTAACCTGTTCCCAGCCAATTAGTGACATTTCCCAGGCTGAGGACGCACGGCCTATTAGACATTTCTGGCCCAATCTGCTTCTACCGCCGGTGCTGATGTGCGGATGCACGCTGCTCCATAGACCCACCTTGCCTCTCTCCTCGTCTCCCGGCCGAACATCTGAAGTGCGCATGCGCCCGCCCCCAAGATCCTTTGCGGCCGCTCGAGACTCCTCAGATGTTTGGACGGGAGTGCGCGGCGAAGACATCTGTAAGTATTAACCCTTTTTAAAAGGTTTTTAAAAAGGTTTTTGCATATATCTACTGCTTGCTAGCCATAGATATATGCAAAAACAGCTGAGGGTTTAATAACCCTTTAAGTGCTGCACATGTTCTGTTTGGTACCAGCTCCCTGCATAGCCGCACTCTGGGAAAGGAAAGGGCAGTACTACCGGCTAATCATGTTGCCATGGATCATGCAGACAGCAGAAGAGAGCAAACAGATGAGCTCATCAGTATGCTCCTGCTCCTGTTCTGTCCCATCACAAGGTAGGGACAGGGAGGTGACCAGACTGAACTGCAGCAGAGAAAGGCCAACTCACCAGGTTGGCTGTGCTGTGTGGCAGTGCCGTGTGAATCTCACGACTGGGTAGACAAATTCAAAACCTTTGGCAGGTGAAAGAGCTCTTTTATACTTAGTGACATTAAACCCTCAGATTTTTTAACATAAACCAATACTGTAATGTGTTCCTTACTGTAATCCATGGTTGTTTCCCTTCTCTTTGCTGCTCTTCCTTTTAAATCTGTATCTGTTCTCATGCTGGGCAGAACTTCTGTTTTGCAGCAGACTGCCTTGTCTATGGAATGGATACATGGTGTCTGTGTGCAGGTTCACAACCTGAGTCAGCAATACAGGAAGAGGCACTCAGCTGCAAAGGGAAGTTCTCCCCCAGCATGAGAAGACATGAGGATTTAAAAGGAAGAGCAGCAAAGAGAAGGGAGACAACCATGGATTACAGTAAGGCGCACATTACAGTATTGGTTTATGTTAAAAAAATCTGAGAGTTTAATGTCACTTTAAGTTGTTTTTCTGGAGTTCAGCTGTTTGAAAAGCAGAAGTAGCCCCCGATACTGAATGGGGTACCCTTACCAGTGACATGAAATCCTTGTTCTTACATTTTCAATAATACATAATAAGAATCCAGCAGGCATGGTGACAACACTTCATAATGGGCACAGCAGGTATGCAGACCAGGAAAACTCAGCACAGGGATGGTGG